CGGGCGATTCGTTGCTTCTGGGTTTCTGAAGGGCTGGGGGGAAGGGCATTTTGGGATTTGTTTGTTGCCTCTTGGGCATTTGGCGCTTCTTGTTGGGCTTTTTGGATTCATAGTGCGGCCCCCTGTGGACGCCTCGGGGGCTCCTGGGCCCTGGGGGGCTCTTGAGACCATCGCGGGGGGAACGCCTCGACATGTTTTGGCATCATTCCTTCTGGGCACCGCTCAATGCAATCTTGGGGCTGTCTTGGGCCGCCTTGGGCGCCCCTGCTGCCGTCTCGGGGCCTTATTGGGCTGGCTAGGGTCTGGGGGCCTCCGTGGGAGCCTCATGTGCCGTCGTGGGGCGACCTCGGACCCACCGCCACCAGTCGCAGTCCCTCAACCCTCTTCTTGCAGGCGCTGAGGCACAAGCATTGCGCTTGCAAGACTGCTGCTTAAACATTGCAGCACGGGGCGTGCTTTGCTTTCAGCAGCGCGCCGCCCATCGCTTATCGCCTGCCAGGGCGAGAAGCCGCAATGGCGGACGAGAGCCATTGGCCAGAGACGATTTTGATCAACGGAGTCCGTCGAGGCTCGCCGTACGTGCGGATGGTAGCAGGGCACATGAAGTGCATTCCGTGCGATACATGGTTACAGTCGCCAGAACATTTGCTCAACAAGACCCACAGGCAGAAATGTTGGTGGTGGTGTTACGGGTGCAATGAGCCAGGGTACAGGCAGAGGCCGCATTGCCCAAACGCAGATTGGGACAGCAGGGAGATCAACGATAGGTATTGGAGGAGCTCCCACGACAGCCCTCCCAGCGACGACCTCGGACCCCAGGACAACGGCACCCAGTGGGCCAGGGCGGCCGCTCAAGGTAGCGGAGGTCTCGGCCAGGGAGGTCGCGGGAAGGGCAAGGGCAAGAACGCACCACGTGGAAGCGTCGGTCGCAATAATGACGCAGCAGGCGGGGCCGACGGACCTGCTGCAGCAGGTAGTGACGATGCCGCGCCCAGTGGTTCAGACGGAGGTGGCGCAGCAGGTGCCGCCGATGGCGCAGCGCGTGAGGCTGACGGAGGAGGCGCCGCAGCTGACGGCGCAGAACCTGCTCCTGAGAGCGATGCAATCGACCCAGTGGAGATGAACTTGGACACCGCCAGCGGTCAGACTGTGCACTACATCGACGCCATCAAGTGTGACATCGAGTTGCTCAAGACTTCCCTCGACGGTGTAGCCAACGGCATGGAGGATCTGAGGCGCGCTTTGGGGGCAATGATTACAAGCAATACGCTGCTGACAGCCGAGGTCACGGAGCTCAAGAGTCGCGTCAGCAGGTCAATCGATGGGCAGTCGGCCATTGAAAGGCAGCTTGTGAATCTAGACACGGTGGTCCAGGGAATGTGCATGAGGGGGCGCCCGCGCCCCGTGCCTCCTGGACTTTCGCTTTCGGCCAGCACGGGCGCGCTTCCGCCGCGCAACCAGCACGCGGATTCCAGCGACGACCAGGTGCACCCGCCACCTGGACGCGCACCGCCAGGTGCGCCGTCGGCAACAGCAGAGTAGGGGGCAGCATGCTCCGTTCTCTGAGTGTACCTTTTGAAGAACAAGACGTTCTCCCTGGCACCTGGCTGCAGGCGCGCTAGATGTTTGTCACGGCGTTGGCGACGCTTCTATGCTACTATTGTTTCTACGGAAGCAACGACATCTATATAACAGTATGGATACATGATATATGCCATATCAACATCAACAATTACTGTTACGACTACTCGTATATCTGCTTACACGCTGCGGCCAGAGACCAGGATGTTGTATAAGAGATGGCGCGCATCTGCTGTTCCAGGACGTCGTCACGTCGTCCCAAAATTGGGAATATGACGGCTGGCGGCTGGCGGGTCAGCATGCATTCGGGTTCGTTTGTTATGCGCCGACGTTGTCCTATCTCCTATCTCAAGTTGCGAGCGGCGGCTCGCCAGCAGAGCAGCCTGACGCTCAACGCCAGAACTGATCTTGCGTGTCGTCTCGGCGCGCCCCAGCAAGATCTTGGACCGTGGATCTTACACACCTCCCCGCATTTGGCCCTCGCCCCTCGGCCCCTCCCCGTCGACCCTCGCCCCCCAATCCTCCGCCATCGATCCTTCATTCGTTTAAGCCCGCAGGGCTTCATAAGGGGGTCTGCGCATGCAAACCTTAGATTTGGCCAAGTGGCTTGGAGGATTGTGTGTCCAGCTAGCCAAAGCTAGCCGCTAGCCATCATTTGCGACGCAATGGGTTGGAGTTTCTTGTTATAGACTATTGGATTGAGGCTTCCGATTAGACATTAGACATCACTGCTACTGCAATTCCGCCTCTCACCCCAGGATTTTCGTGGTGCGTTATAGGGCGTAGGTGGGTGGGTTGCCTGGTGGTGGCGGGGTTGGCGTGTGGGTGCGGGTGGAGAGTGGGGAGGGTGTGCGGGGTGCGGGGGAGGGGGGTGGGGGGTGGGTGGGTGGGGGCGGGATGGCTCCTTAGGCAGCGACGTTATTGGCAAGCCCATGTGCACAGGAGCGTTTGCCCACACAGCGAATCGCATTCGCCACGCCGTCTAAGGGGCCCCACTAGGGTGTGGCGAGGTGCCAGTGGCACTCTATGCAGCAGGAATGTGAGCTGCCAAGTAAATGTTATTTTCCTTAGGCAGCGCTTTGAGTGTAAGCTCAGGTTAGACGTTGAGTTAGGCTAGGTAGGGAGTTGGCTTCTCTGGGGTCGCGGTTGGTGCCCAAGCACTGCAGTCGAGCCGAATCCAGAAGAGTTGTCTAGCCCCTAGCCATATAGCATATAGCCGAGTCCTCTCGCTCCGACTCCCTTTGTAGCATAGCAATCAGCAGCCCCCTCTCTCTTTCTCTTCCTCTCCTTCTCCTCCTTCTCAGTCTCCCCTTTCCTCTCCCATGACATCCTCCCTTATCAGTTTCATCCCACCCCCCTCGTCTATTCCCGCCCACCCCCCTCGCCCACCTCCATCAAGAGGGAGTGATCGATGATAGAAGGGTAGATATATAGAGTGAGAGAGATGGGTGGTGAGATAGAGCGAGCGAGAGAGAGAGAGAGAGAGAGTTCAAAGGGGGAGGCGGGGGAGGCACATACATGCCACTTGGCACCACCGCCTGCCATCTGTCCGTGGGCATTCGCGGGGACATGCTCCACACTTGTGGAGCGGCGGGCGGTTCAGCCCCACTTGGGGGCCCACATTTGTGGGCGGCGGTTCGGGGGAGGAGGAGTCGGGGGATTAAAGGGGGTTCAGGGAGAGAGATGGGGGGGGAGAGAGAGAAAGAGAGAGAGAGAGAGAGAGGGAGATGGGACTCCCCCCCCGAGCGCTGGGCCCTAGGCACCTCCTCTCGCTCCGACTCCGCGGTACTGTGTCGCGCGCTGTGGTTGCGGGTCCCTTGGAGGCGCGGCGCCTGCGGCGTCGCTCGAGGCGGAGCGGTAGATCGGCTGTCGGGGGCGCGGCGCTTGCTTGGCCGTGGTGTGATTTCGTGACCAAGGGTGGTGGGTTCGGTTGCCACCGACAGATTTTTCCGCGAGTCTTGGGCGGCGTCTTGCTCGCGACAGTCATCGGTGGCCCCTGGAGTTCTCGTGGCCTGTCTGGGACGTCTGGGTCTCGGGGAGCGGGGGGGCTGGCCGAAAAGAGTGGAGTTTGTCAATCATTGTGCTCGGCTGATCGTCACATAGCATTGTGGCTGCAAGGCGCAAGGGTGCCGTGCAACCTGCGTGCACTATCTTGGCGCCCTCTTATTCCTTGTATGCGCCAGTGTGGCCATCGTCCGTCTAACAAATCCCTCCACCCCTTTCCCCCCGCCGCACCCCCGCCACTCCCGCAGTCATTCAGCAGCAGCCCTGCGCGCTAGAGTCGCCCACGAGAAGAGGGTGGAGGGGGAGAGGGGGCAAGAGATGGCCACATTGGAGCATACTGTTACAAGTAGCTGAGATCCATAGCTCGAGCCATGGCCAGCGTCTCCATGCGTTTGCAAGTGCACGTTTTTCTTATGCAGTTCATGTGGTCTCGGTGTGAGTTTGCCGTCGTCAATCTGGACGAGAGCAGTTCTACGATCACAGAGATGCGCATGCCGAGTTTCATGGGAATACTGTTCATCATGAGTTGCGCGATCAGCTTCGTGATCGGATTCGTTTTCGGGTGGAAGTTCAGAACGTTGTCTGAGCCAGATGTGAAGGAGACCAAGGAGGATAAGCTTGACGAAGATAAACGCTCTGACTCGGACGTCAAACCATTATCCAAAGACCTCAAGAAGGCAATCAACTCTCGTGATGCCAACGTGGTTCGACAGTTTACCATCAACAGCCTTCGCCAACAGGTCTCTAAGATGAATGGAGATACATCAGGATCGAAAGAAGATCTAGTGAGCAGGCTCGTCCAGATGAGGGAGCTCGAGCGCAACAAAACTCATTAGGCATCCTCGCAGCGCAGCTGCCAATTCGGACCTCGAGCCAGCCGCCAGCACCTTATAGCAATTTATTATGCTGCAATTAGATGTGCAACGCTTCCTATCATGAGGAGGTGTGCTCTGATATTTATAAGTAATTAAGGCGTTGTTGCTGGGGGGCTGTGCCGAATTAGAGATGTCGCCCAGGCTACATGCCAGGTGAGTTGACTGGCTGTGTTCGGGTACTGCTTATAGCAACCGTGCAGACTGCAGACATTGTCGAAACATCCATTGTGGAACTGTGCCGAGGCGAGCCGCTTCTGATTGGAAAAACATTGGGTGTTGGCCCGTGGGTGGCCCGTGGCCCGCGTAAAAAAGCTCCTGAGCCCTAAGCCGTAGGAACTCCTGGGAATCCTGTGCGTAAACAAACAGTACGCGGGGGGGGTGTGCTTAACATCTTCCGCACGTCATCAGGGGTGAGAGGAGAGTAGTATTCATGTCCTCCGTCGCAGCCAGATTTGCTCGAGGCGGGTTGGCTGGTTGGCTCCGTCCACGGGCGTGTATATACATTTCCGATTTGTGATCTGTCAGCCAGCCGCGTCGGCCATGGCTGGGTCGGCTCGGCGCGTGCCTACGCATCCCGCGGCGCAGAAGGGCGGCATTCGCAGGGTACTCAAGGCGCAGTCTGCCCGCGGAGGCGGCCGAGGCGGCGGCCAAGGCCGAGGTGGCCAGCGCCGTCGCGTGGGCCCTGGTGCTCGCACCTGCGACTTGTGCGGCAAGTCCGACAGGGATGATCGGGCCTGAACCGCCCTACCCCTACCCCCTGCCCACTGCGTGCCTACCCCAACCCGCTGCTACCCCCCACCCGCGGGGGGTCACCAGGGACACATCGGGTGGTAACGACAATTGTGGTTAGGCTTGTAGCGACGGTGAGAGGTGAGAGGGGGGTCGTAGCTTTGCCCGCCTCGCGCGCCCAAGGAGATCACGCTCCTCGCTGTGACCGCCGAGAACGCGGATGTCCGCATCGGGCTCTTTGTGGAGGGCGACAAGGCGTGCGATGGTTGCGCGAAGTGGGCTTCGAAGGAACTGCCGAACCTGACCAGGGCGCAGATCGTCAAACACCTCGACGCAGGCGACATGGACGACCTGTTCGAGAACCACCCCGTGCTGGGCACCGCGACGCCGCATCTGCACGAGCGCAGCCTTCAGCTGTTCGAGAACAACCACGTGGGGCACGAGATGTACACGAAATGTTCGGCTCTCACTGAGGGTGACGTGACCAGGCTATACGAGAAGAGCCCAAAGACGCTGAAGTTGGTCCCCTATTTGGTTCCGAACCGCCCGAAGCCGCTGATCATATACCCTGTGAGGTTGCCTGCTGGCATCAAGGAGGACTACCCAGTACTGAAGATCTTCCACAAGACCTCGATTGGATACGCTGCAGGCGCATTCAAGGCTCAAGCAGCTGAGCTGTTCCAGAAGCACGGGCAGGTCATGTTCGCGGGGACCGTTAAGTCGAAGGATGACGAGGACGCGAAGGACGACCCCTCGAACACCTTCAACAGGGGCGTCTACGCGTCCATCCCGAGCCACAGTGACATCACCAAGCGCAAGGAGAAGGCGGTTGAGAAGGCGCGGAGGGGTTCGAAGCTGCCTCGCGCAGACCAGCCTGACGGGGACTCCAGCGAGCAGTCCGATCTCGCCGATGAGTTAGCAGCTGCAGCGTCCACCGTGGCTGGAGGGGCGGGAGATCCAGCCGCCTCATCGCTCGGGCCTGGCCCCTCTCTCACGATCGAAAGGCTCCTCCAGCACGGCAACGCGGGAACTGGCGAGAACCTGGGCCCAGAGGCGCGGCGCCCGAGCGGAAGTGAGGTCGGTGCGCTGCTCAACAGAAGCAGCCCGTGCGACAAGAGGAAGGCGGGAGGTCCTTCGCCAGGGTCGGTCAAAAGCATGAGGACAACGTTTTCCATGGCGTGTGATGATATCAGTGCGAACCCCAACTCCCTCGGCACCAAGGAGTACTGGATACACGAGTTGGCCTATTCACGCGGGTTCAATGGCTACAAATCTGGCAGGGCTGAGCATCAGGCGAAGCAGTTGTTGGCGAAGTTGACGGGTACCGAGAAGAAGACCCTCCAGACGCATATCGACCTATTCAACAAGTCGAAGCTGTTCTCCGATGAGGCCTCTGCGAACGTCGACGACCAGGAGCTGATCGACGCGTGGTCCGACCTCCAGAAGGCCGGGGCCGTGCTGACCCCGAAAGCCCTCAGGGGCCTCGCAAAGCGCAACGTGATGAGCCTGTGGCACCAGGTCAACAATCAGGATGGCAGCGGTGCCGCCCTGCGCAAGCGAGACCTCCTGAGGAAGTTCCTGACTGCGTGCGTGGTCTGGGGATTCGACGATTCTGTGGTCAAAAAGGTTGATGACCCAACAAAGGTGACGCTGGTGCAGGGTTGCTCGCACGACATCGAGGTCGCCTCTACGTTCATCGAGTGGGTATTCTCCGACACGTTCTCAAACTGGCTGGCCGCAGGTGCCGCGTCCGCTGAGGACGCCGTCTTGTTCTGCGAACTTGCTGACGAAGTGTTCAGCTCCTTGCCAGAGGACGCGAACCTTGGGGAGGCGGCTGCCAGATGCTTCTTGGAGGCAACTACTGTCGTTCGCTTGCTGGTCGCACTGCACCATAAGTACATCGGTAGAGATACGGACCTGACGGTCTTCGCCGACGCCCACATCCTCGACAAGGAGGCGAAGAGGACGACTGGTAACGCTTCGGTGATGCAGGTCATTGGCCAGTCCTTACTCACGTCAGCGGGCGGGTATTGGGAGGCAAAGCTGAAGTGGGCTATCAGCATTTCGGACGCGATCATGATCCACGGGCCGAAGCTGAAGCAGATGCTGAGTGACCTGGATGGCATCAACGGCATTGTCCCCCCGAAAGAGGTACACGCAACCACCATGCTCAAAATCGCGAAGGACATCCCTTACTTCGAGGTCGACCTCTACGATGGCGCATGCGATGCCGCTAAGAACGAGCTGTGGGCCAAGGCCTGCAGGATGGCAGAATCAATAGTGGCTGCCAAACCGTCCGTGCCCGCCACCGATGACGACAGCCTTAGCATTACGGCGCTCCATCAGTGGAAGTTTCTGTTCAAGGAGCTCACCAAGCTCTTCCCGACTAACGAGCACGTCGAGCGCGCTGGCCGCGCCCTCGCCACGAAGATTGCAGATGTGAGCGAGCATGACAAGTTCGTTCAGCTCGGGTCGTCCATCGACAATTGGGCCCCTGCCGACGAAGGCTTAACGGTTTCCTTAATGACGTCGATCAAGGAGAACCAGTCCAAGGAGTTTCCCGAAGAGGTCAAGATTAAATGCCTTGCGCTGTTCAAAAGGATTGTCAGTAGTGTATTCACTGATGGGCCGACTTCGCTGTACACGGATACCGATAGCCGCATCTTCCAGTGTTTGGATATGGTCGCAGAGAGAGTTCAGAGTCAGGATTGGCATTCCTCAACGCAGCTCGCCGCGATGATCCACTCTTGCTGGTCGGTGCTGCAGCTGAAAAGCTCCATCGTCGCGGAGCTTGGCGAGGGCGCCGACCTGGCTAGCGATGTCGCCGAGCAGAAGGGCAATGACCTCTTCCGCATGGTCAGTAAAGCGAAGGTGCACTTCAAGCCGCTGGCGCTGGACGCCGTCGTGGAGAACGCTTCGCACAACTTGAAGACGCTGCTGCAGGAGTGTGACGACTATTGCGGCAGCATCGGGGAGGCCATCCGCAAAAAGCACACCACGGATGTTGTCAACCAGGGCTACAACCTGTGCGAGGCAGTCGACGAGACTAACGGGTACACGGATTGGGTGAGCAATAAGTCAAAGGCGGGTGCGCTACCAGAGCTGCTTGTGACCTACGAGAAGGGCATGAAGGACGCGCCGACCCGCGAGTGGCATGACAAGCTTACATTGCTCGAGGACGCCTTCGAGACCTTGAAGCAGAAATCAGCAAATTTCGGGCTTGACTACACAGGCGCTGACGAGAATGTTGCTGCGACGCCGACGGCGGCCAAGCAGATCAAGAGCCTCATCATTGAATGCGAGTTGTGCTCGTCCTTTGCCAGCCCGACGCTCGTGGGCAACAAGATTTCACTGAGGAGCGCGATGGTGGCAACGCAGAACAAGCTTCGCAAGTGGGAGCTCACGCCCGACGACATCGACCCGCTGCTCGTCACGCGGTATCGCGACGCACTGCGCATGAAGTAGGCCGTGAGCCGTTCACGCAGCTGTTCGGAACGCGATGGCGTTGCTCTCGGATGCGACGCTTCCAGCCAGAGGTCGGGCGGGAGGGACGAGTCGGATGACGAGTAGGAGGGCGAGAATGAGAAGCGCAATGAGGGATGCAACGACAAGCGGGGGGGGGGGATGTCTCGACAAACGCAGCTCTCGCCCATGTGCAGCAGGCTGGTTTTGTTTGAAGGCCAGAACGAGTTCTGGTGGGTTTACCCGCCCAGGGGGTAACCTGGGGATGCTAGGAGTCTAGCGCGTATGTGACATGAACGACTGCCGCGCCGTCATCGGCGTTCGCGCCACCGTCCTTCGATCCTTACTCACAGTCCTCCGTTTCCCCTCTTCTGGCCTATTCATCGTGCCCGCCCTCCTTATCATATTCCTGATTTTCCTCTCGGCATCCCTCGTCCCTCATCCTTCTCATCTCACCGCCCCTGTCTAACCGTAATTCTTGACGCTTCGCGTAACCCCGCCAGCCCATTCAGAAGCACTGCCCACGTGTTGACGGGAAATGGCAAGAATGGGCACACATAGCGAACCAACAATGGCAAGGAGAGGAGGGTGGTCAGGGTGTTGGAGTCATCTCTGAGCTCCTTTGGATTGTATTGGGGCCTTATCGGTGTTTTTTCTGGGGTGGGGTATTGGGGCCCTCTTGAGGCCATCTTGGGGCTCTCTTGTGGGCTTCTTGGGAGCCCTGGAGGGTCTCTTGGGGCCGCCGTGGAGTGTGTAGGTGAAATGATGGGGGGGGGGGGGGGTCCTCCCGTTGTGTCCCCCCCATCTGGGGCCATCGAGATAGCCTCTTGGGGCGCTCTTGGGTCTCTCTTGGGGCGCTGTTGGGCGCTCTTGGTGCCGTCTCGAGGGCTTCCTGTGCCCTTCTCAGGGCATTCTTTGGCCATGGTGGCGCCATCTTGAGGCATCAGAACCGCGTCGGAAGAGAAACTGAGAGAAACCAAAACTCATTAGTTGGTTTATGTTTTTGACAGGTTTCGGGATCTCGGGGAGGTCCCGAGGGGTCTCCAAGAGCACCTGCAGCCGTATTGTGGCCCTCGTGATGCATCTTTGAAGCATGATGTAGCTCATCTTGAGCGACCTTGCACTGTATTGAGCCATCTTGGGCAATATTGGAGCATCGGAGGCCCTCTTAGAGCCATCTTGGACCATCTTGGGCGCTCCAGCCCCTCGAGGGGACCCCGTCCAGGTCCAGGGGGGGGTGTAGGGGGAGGGGCGAACCCCTTACAGAAGGGGAAGAAGGGGTTGTGGAATAGGAAAGAGGAACATCGTTAGACGGCCTGTAGCCCAATGGGCTGGCGGGTTCATACCTCTACGCAGCCACTCCCTGGTGGCCGTCATTCTCACACTCGTGCTTCTCCCCTCGTTCAGGTCCCAACGGCATGCTTTCAATGCAGACGCGGTCACTTAACATCAAATGGGCGCCTCGCTCGATACATCACCGCCACTTGGCCTCGAACGGGCGAGTGACCCCCCTCCCTGGCGGCTTCCTCTTGGGGTGTGTCTGAGCGTGAATCCAGTGCGCGGGTCTGAGTGTGAGCCGTGTGGTGGTGAGGTGCCTGCATATGGTTGGGTCGGAGTGTGGGTGGGTCAGAGTGTAAGTGGGTCCTAGCGCGAGTGGGTCTGGGTGCGAGTGAGTCGGACCGTGAGCAAAACAAGCGCGAACGAGTCTGAACGTGGGCAAGTCTGGAGCAATCGGCGGCTCATGTCTTGGTTATGGCTTTCGCCGCAACCGCCGTGATCCGCGGCGCTGCGGGCTGTCGCCCCGTTCCTCCGCCGCGCGCGGCCCCGTATGAGTTAGGGGGTAGGGCTCTCGCCCTCGCCGCCGCGCGCGGCCCCTCGGAGTATCGAGGCATCTGCCGAGTTAGCTCATATCTGTAGGCTGGCTAGGAGCAGGGCTTTCGCCCCCCCCGCCGCGCGCGGCCCCGTTGGACATTGCTCTAAAGGCAGTCTTGGCCTCAATACATCAGAGTCGGGCCAGGAACAAAAAGGGGCGTCTCGGGAGCCTTAGGGCGGAGTAGGAACATGATTATGACAGGCCAGCCATGGGAAGGAATGGGTAGGAGCATGACAAGGACCAGGGACCAGGGGCGGCCAGGGGTATAAGGGAACGCGAACTAATAGATTCACGGTTCCCCCCGCCGCCCGCCACCCCCATCTTAAACTCGATATCGCGTAGGTAATGCAACAATCCTAGAATGCGCGCACAATGTTTCGTTTTTCTGGTGTTCAAACACGTTGTTCGCATTGCCGCAATCACTTGTTATTTCATTTAAACACCCAGCGGTTATCCTACGTCACAAGGTTGTACGTGTGCTAAGTTATGTTTCTGATAGAGACAACGGGGTATGATGTTGTGTTATGTGGTGTTGGCGCGGTCACGTTATCATGCTGTGCTGTTCTAGGCTAGGCCGTGCTATGCCGTGTACCGCTATCATGAGTAGATGCGGCCCTGGTGCATCGATCAGATAATTGAGTTTTACAAAAGGATTTTTTGATAATTCCAAAAGTATTTTTGGAGTATTTTAACATAAGTGTCCAAAGTGTATTCTGGGAGTATTTTTGGGGTATTTTCAGCTTTCCAGTAGTTTTGCAGAACTGAGCGGGCTCAGAACTATGTAAGCGTATTCTCCCTCTGCTCTATTCCTCGCTCCCTTTCCCCTACCCCTCCCCCTCCCCTCCCTTCCCCGTTCGGTACTGCTGCTTCTCCTCCCCCCTCCCACCCCCTCCTTCTTCCCGTCATCCTCCTGCCCCTCCTCCATCCATATTTCTGATAAGTAATTCCTCGCAGACGCACCCCGAGACTTGTCGGTAGGGCGGGCCAGGCGTTTCGCTTGAGACTTCCTCGCCATCTCTGATCCTGCAGCTTCAGATTCACAAGAGTTTTACCGAGGGAGGGCGGGCCATTTTCAAAACGTGACTCTCGCCTGAGCTCCGCGCACATTCGTCTCAAACGTTGCAAGAGTTTCACGGATTGATGGCGGGCCGTTTCTAAAATGTGGCTCTTTTCGTCAGCGTCGCGTGCAGTCGGTTGAAAAGCTGCGAGAATTTCACGCGTGGAGGGCGGGTCGTTTTCAAAATGTGGCTCTCGCCTTAGCGCCGCGCGCATTCGTTTTTACAACTTCGCAAGAGCTTCATGGATGGAGGGCGGTTCCTTGTCAATATGTGTCTCTCGCCTTAGCGCCGCGCGAATTCGTTTTAAATCCACTGATGGTGAGCGTATCGTTTTCAACATGTGGTTCTCGTTTGTGCTTTCTAAGCTTGCAAGGGTTTCACGGATGGACGGTGGTTCCTTTTCAACATGTGTCCCTCGCCTTAGCGCCGCGAACATTCGCGGTACAAGTTTGCATGAGTTCACGGACGGAGGGCGGATCTTTTTCAAAACGTTGTTCTCGCTTTAGCGCCGTGCACACTCGTCGTACACATTCACGACCGTTTTAAGGGTTCTTGCGGTTGCCGTCCCAGGAATGGTGTTCTGGCGCGATTTAGGATTGTCAGGGTGCAACAGTCTCGTTGATTGGCAGTGTCGAAGTCTCAGGAAAGGTGTTTTGTCACGACACAGGAACGTCAGGTGCAACAGTAACGTTAATTCGCGGCGTTGAACTCCCAGGAGTGATGTTGTGGTACGGTTGAGGATTCTCAGTCGATTGTCTTCAACGGGGCACTTCCCGCAGTTAACATACAGCCTCGTAGGGACCTGTGAAGTCGGAACTCGGAGGGAGGCTTTATTGCAACATCGCTGATGCGTCTTGGGTTTGCTGGTCCTCCTCCTCCTCCTCCTTCCCTCCTGTCCCTCCGCCTCCTCCTCCTCCTCCTCCGCCTCCTCCTCCTCCTGCAACAGTCTGCCGCCCTCTCACCTCCAGCCCCGCGCAGACGATGCCGAGGGCCGCGACGGCCCGAAGGCCGCCTGGCCCAGCCGCCCCGCCGCCCAGCCTGGCGGGCCTGGGTGGCGCGCCCGCGCGGCCGAGCCGCCTCCGCCCCGAGAGCGCCGCTAGCGGGCGCGCGATGGCGGCCTGTGGCAGTGCCACCGCCCGTGGCCGTGCGAAAGGAAGTGCGCGACCAGAGGTCGCATTCTCAGTGCCAGGTCTCGGTGAGGAGGCACTGGCGCGGGCGCAGCATGTCCCGGTCCAGCGCGGCCGCCCCCGTGGCGCCGTGCGCGAGCATCTTCGGCAGCCCATTGGCCGCAGGGATGTTCGCCTGAGTGGTGGGTCGCAGGCATAGGAACCACACTGCTGAGGGATGCACATCCTACTTGCGTAGCACGCCAACTAGCCATATGGTACTAGTACATGTCAAAATCCGCGGCAACTCCCAAAACCAGTTCCGCGTCACAGCGGCCCGCAAGTCTGCGACCACTTGCGAACCCTACCCGTAACGGGTCCAATCGACGCTGAGGTATCGGACACCCCCGTTGGGGTTCACCCGGCTGCAGACATCCTTCTAATTCTCCCCCCCAGCCGGTTTTTCAGAAATCTGATCTGCAGGAGTAGGGTTCACATGTGTAGGAAGGGCGCTGGGGCAGATCGGCCTGCACGGCGTAGCGCACCGCGACGCTGATGTAGCCCGCGGGCAGTCAGCCCGCTTGGGAGGGCGTGAACTACAGTGGGAGCCCACGTCAAGAAACGCTCTGCTTGCTTCCAGGGTGCTCTGGGCTTCATGGGTTTCGATGGTTTTGCTGTGGAACGTGTGACGTTCCCACACCAATAATCAATGTGCTTCCTGGGGTTCCAGGGTTGGGTTTCTAGTGGAAGGTTTCTTGTGGTCGAGCCCCTACCGTACAGCTACACCGATCCTGGCGAGGCCCACCCCAGGCCCAGGATCGGCGCACAGGCCTTGCTCGTCAGGCCAGGACGGCGGAAACACAGCTGCTGGTCCAAGGATACGCCTGGCCACGCTGTAGGTGAATAGTTGGCGACTCCCAAGCGAGGGCGCAGGCGGTAGCCGGCACGCCGAGGGCACCGTGCCGT